CGTTCTTTTTTTAGTAAGGGGGCTGCGCCCCCTTACAACCCCCCTTTCTCTTTATGTTTTTTTTTTGTAAGGGGGCTGCGCCCCCTTACGACCCCCCTTACATAGCGCCTCGAAGGCCTGCGGCCTTCTTCGCCGCATGACACTCACCTGGCCGGATCCTCGCTCGCTGCGCTCGCTCGGTGCGATTGGAATTTCGTTTGGAAATAAAAAAACATTCCGTATATCAATTTTTTAATATAAAATCGCCCTGTACATCAAATTTTCATTTTTCCTTAACGTAAAAACACCCTGTACATCAAATGTCCCGTCGACGTCTCCTTAGAAACGTCAGTGACATTTTCAGTCAATGTGAGGTTGGTTCTTTGTCGCTGTCATTAGTGTACACTTTTCGATATTAATTGAAACTTTTCTCGGTTATTCGTCAATAAAATGAGGAGAAAACTCAAAGGTTAGTAATTTATTGTACGTTCTTTCATATTCAACCGTTGAAAGCGGCTAAAAGGTTCAAATTAAGAAAAAAAGTTACACTAAGGTAAAGTTCCACTCAAACTAAACGAACGCAAATCGTCCATCAAATAATTTTTCGGAAAATGTGTCAAAAATTTCAACTTTAAATCGATATTGTGAACGAAAACGAATTTAGCTGGGAAAAAGAGGTCGATTTTCGTAATCAGCGAATTTTTTCACGTCCCCCTATGTACCTCTGTACGCCCAAGTAATTCATAATGAATTTCTGTCGCCAATCAGTCTATATCACCTGGGGTTTTATATATATAGTGACTCGCTAAACGCTCGGAAAGGGGGCTCCGCCCCCTTTCAACCCCCTTGCGCGATGTAAAAGACTATGAATGTTTTCTTGACACTGGCCCGAATAGTAAAAGGCCTTTATTTCTTCTTCTACTTTAAAACTTGTTTTTGACAGTTGACATGTTGATAGTTTCATGTTGATAAACGTTAAACGTCCTTTATTAATGTTTTTAATTTCCTGCAAGAGATTAAATTAGTAGAAATAACTAAAACAGTTAGTTCAATAACGATTAATTTTAATTATTACTAAAACATTTCACAATTAACATATTAATGTATTGTTTACGAAGGTTCTTCAACACTGTTGTTCGATTGAATGGAAAAAAAGCCTTCAGAAAAGACTCCAGAATGCTGTTCAAATTGTTCCTGGTGGGTTATGTTGCTTTGCCAGTTGCTGTTTGCCTCCTTTTTTCCAGTTTCAATCCTGCAAAATAAAGAAATTTTAAGTAAAAGGAAAATCTAACCCTACTTTTCATACTACAGGTAACAAAAAATCATTCGATACTACGTTATTTTTATAATTTTTGTTCCAAATGAATGTATTCGAATGATATTTTGTCTTTTTAACGAATTATTAGTAATTACATACCTTTTTAGCATAATATTTCATCGTTCGAAGGTTCTCCGATCGAAGTACTGGGTTGTTCGGTTAATGTTGAAAATGGCAGAAAAAATCCAAAATATGCCTCCAATTGTTGTTGGGGGTTTATTCCAAGCTACTAGTTGTCCTTTGCTTCTTATTATCCCGTGCCAATCCTGCAAAATAAAAAATTTTTAAGGAAAAGAAAAATCCAACAGTACTCTTTTTTCTATATACGGGTAACTTAAATCCTTACCATTTCATTTTGTAGGCAGAGCAGTCTGGAAAAGCCAACAAAACGGTCGAATGTCCCATAAAACACACCAAATTATCCAATTTTACAGCAATAACATTCCTCTTGCTTTCTACCGCTCTCTCGGAAGACTTGAAACGGCATCAGATTCCTGAAAAATGTAAAAAAATGGTTAGAAATAGGTTCTTTCACATAGAAAATTCAATTCTTACCTTTTTAGTATCCATTTTGTAGGCCGAGCAGTCTGGAAAAGCCAACAAAACGGTCGAATGTCCCCATAAAACGCACCAAATTATCCAAATTTACGGCTAAAACATTCCTCTTGCGTTCTACCGCTCTCTCGGAAGACTTGAAACGGCATCAGATCCCTGAAAAATTTAAAAAAATGGTTAGAAATAGGTTCTTTCACATAGAAAATTTAATTCTTACCTTTTTAGTATCCATTTTGTAGGCCGAGCAGTCTGGAAAAGCCAACAAAACGGTCGAATGTCCCATAAAACACACCAAATTATCCAAATTTACGGCAAAAACATTCCTCTTGCGTTCTACCGCTCTCTCGGAAGACTTGAAACGGCATCAGATCCCTGAAAAATTTAAAAAAATGGTTAGAAATAGGTTCTTTCACATAGAAAATTCAATTCTTACCTTTTTAGTATCCATTTTGTAGGCCCAGCAGTCTGGAAAAGCCAACAAAACGGTCGAATGTACCATAAAACACACCAAATTATCCAAATTTACGGCAATAACATTCCTCTTGCGATCTACCGCTCTCTCGGAAGACTTGAAACGGCATCAGATCCCTGAAAAATGTAAAAAAATGGTTAGAAATAGGTTCTTTCACATAGAAAATTCAATTCTTACCTTTTTAGTATCCATTTTGTAGGCCGAGCAGTCTGGAAAAGCCAACAAAACGGTCGAATGTCCCATAAAACACACCAAATTATCCAAATTTACGGCAATAACATTCCTCTTGCGTTCTACCGCTCTCTCGGAAGGCTTCAGCATTCCTAAAAATACAGAAAAATCGTAAGAAAAGGGTTTCTTGTTACAGAAAATTCAAACCTTACCTTTAAAAAGGAAGAAATCGGTCGAAATTGTCATGAAACTTTCCAAATAATCCGGATTAACTGTAAGAACATTCCTCTTGCATGCTAATCCTCTCTGGGAAGGTTTGTATAGGCTTCAATATACCTAAAAATAAAGAAAAATCATTAAAAAAAGGGTCTTTCTCATAAAAATTAATTCCTTACCTTTTTCAGTATCCATCGTTGCGAGAAATGGAGGTCGAACGTTCCTGTAATACCATAAAAAACATACATTTAATAAAAAGCAATATTTATACAACTAAAAATACCTTTTAATTGAAGTATTGTTTAATTTAAAATGATTTACTTACCTAATTATCAATGAAAATCGCACATGAAACTGAAAAATCGACACAAAAATCGCTTCAAAAATTCTTGAGGAAAATGTCGGCGAAAACCAATTGAATTGTCAATAACAACGGGATTCAATTATTTTTATCGAATGTATATTACGAATAAAGGCAAGTACCAATATCAAAAATATCAATACAAAAATTAGGAATGACACTTGACATGACATTTAACGTACAGGTTTTTTTTTATTCTTTTTATAAAGAACAGGGCTGCGCCCCCTTACAACCGCCCTTCTCTTTATGTTTCTTTTTTAGTAAGGGGGCTGCGCCCCCTTACAACCCCCCTTTCTCTTTACGTTCTTTTTTTGGTAAGGGGGCTGCGCCCCCTTACAACCCCCCTTTCTCTTTACGTTCTTTTTTAGTAAGGGGGCTGCGCCCCCTTACAACCCCCCTTTCTCTTTACGTTTTTTTTAGTAAGGGGGCTGCGCCCCCTTACAACCCCCCTTTCTCTTTACGTTCTTTTTTTAGTAAGGGGGCTGCGCCCCCTTACAACCCCCCTTTCTCTTTATGTTTTTTTTTTTGTAAGGGGGCTGCGCCCCCTTACGACCCCCCTTTCTCTTTACGTTCTTTTTTAGTAAGGGGGCTGCGCCCCCTTACAACCCCCCTTTCTCTTTACGTTTTTTTTAGTAAGGGGGCTGCGCCCCCTTACAACCCCCCTTTCTCTTTACGTTCTTTTTTAGTAAGGGGGCTGCGCCCCCTTACAACCCCCCTTTCTCTTTACGTTTTTTTTAGTAAGGGGGCTGCGCCCCCTTACAACCCCCCTTTCTCTTTACGTTCTTTTTTTAGTAAGGGGGCTGCGCCCCCTTACAACCCCCCTTTCTCTTTATGTTTTTTTTTTTGTAAGGGGGCTGCGCCCCCTTACAACCCCCCTTTCTCTTTACGTTCTTTTTTAGTAAGGGGGCTGCGCCCCCTTACAACCCCCCTTTCTCTTTACGTTTTTTTTAGTAAGGGGGCTGCGCCCCCTTACAACCCCCCTTTCTCTTTACGTTCTTTTTTTAGTAAGGGGGCTGCGCCCCCTTACAACCCCCCTTTCTCTTTATGTTTTTTTTTTTGTAAGGGGGCTGCGCCCCCTTACGACCCCCCTTACATAGCGCCTCGAAGGCCTGCGGCCTTCTTCGCCGCATGACACTCACCTGGCCGGATCCTCGCTCGCTGCGCTCGCTCGGTGCGATTGGAATTTCGTTTGGAAATAAAAAAACATTCCGTATATCAATTTTTTAATATAAAATCGCCCTGTACATCAAATTTTCATTTTTCCTTAACGTAAAAACACCCTGTACATCAAAAGTCCCGTCGACGTCTCCTTAGAAACGTCAGTGACATTTTCAGTCAATGTGAGGTTGGTTCTTTGTCGCTGTCATTAGTGTACACTTTTCGATATTAATTGAAACTTTTCTCGGTTATTCGTCAATAAAATGAGGAGAAAACTCAAAGGTTAGTAATTTATTGTACGTTCTTTCATATTCAACCGTTGAAAGCGGCTAAAAGGTTCAAATTAAGAAAAAAAGTTACACTAAGGTAAAGTTCCACTCAAACTAAACGAACGCAAATCGTCCATCAAATAATTTTTCGGAAAATGTGTCAAAAATTTCAACTTTAAATCGATATTGTGAACGAAAACGAATTTAGCTGGGAAAAAGAGGTCGATTTTCGTAATCAGCGAATTTTTTCACGTCCCCCTATGTACCTCTGTACGCCCAAGTAATTCATAATGAATTTCTGTCGCCAATCAGTCTATATCACCTGGGGTTTTATATATATAGTGACTCGCTAAACGCTCGGAAAGGGGGCTCCGCCCCCTTTCAACCCCCTTGCACGACGTAAAAGGCCTTGCAGTGCAAGTTGTACACTGACCCGAATAGTAAAAGGCCTTTATTTCTTCTTCTACTTCAAACTTCTTTTTGACAGTTGACATTACTGTCATGTTGATAAACTAAAATATTTTTAATTTCTTGCAAGAGTATTTGTAATTGCAATTTGTAAATGTTGTAAAATTTGTAAATAGAATTGACTAAAACAGTTAGTTCAATAACAATTTTCTTTATTACATTTCAAAATTAATAACATACTAATATTGTTTACGAAGATTCTCCACACTGTTGTTCGATCGAATGGAAAGAAAAGCCTCCAGAAAAGACTCCACAATGCTGTTCAAATTGTTTCTGGTGGGTTATTTTGCTTTGCCAGTTGCTGTTTGCTTCCTTTTTTCCAGTTTCAATCCTGCAAAATAAAGAAATTTTAAGTAAAAGGAAAATCTAACCCTACTTTTCATTCTACAGGTAACAAAAAATCATTCGATACTACGTTATTTTTATAATTTTTGTTCCAAATGAATGTATTCGAATGATATTTTGTCTTTTTAATGAATTATTAGTAATTACATACCTTTTTAGCGTAATATTTCATCGTTCGAAGGTTCTCCGATCGAAGTACTGGGTTGTTCGGTTAATGTTGAAAATGGCAGAAAAAATGCAAAATATGCCTCCAATTGTTGTTGGCGGTTTATTCCAAGCTACTAGTTGTCCTTTGCTTCTTATTATCCCGTGCCAATCCTGCAAAATAAGGAAATTTTAAGTAAAAGAAAAATCCAATAGTACTATTTTTTCTACGGGTAACTTAAATCCTTACCATTTCATTTTGTAGGCAGAGCAGTCTGGAAAAGCCAACAAAACGGTCGAATGTACCATAAAACACACCAAAATATCCAAATTTACGGCAATAACATTCCTCTTGCGTTCTACCGCTCTCTCGGAAGACTTGAAACGGCATCAGATCCCTGAAAAATGTAAAAAAATGGTTAGAAATAGGTTCTTTCACATAGAAAATTCAATTCTTACCTTTTTAGTATCCATTTTGTAGGCCGAGCAGTCTGGAAAAGCCAACAAAACGGTCGAATGTACCATAAAACACACCAAAATATCCAAATTTACGGCAATAACATTCCTCTTGCGTTCTACCGCTCTCTCGGAAGACTTGAAACGGCATCAGATCCCTGAAAAATGAAAAAAAATGGTTAGAAATAGGTTCTTTCACATAGAAAATTCAATTCTTACCTTTTTAGTATCCATTTTGTAGGCCGAGCAGTCTGGAAAAGCCAACAAAACGGTCGAATGTACCATAAAACACACCAAAATATCCAAATTTACGGCAATAACATTCCTCTTGCGTTCTACCGCTCTCTCGGAAGAATTGAAACGACATCAGATCCCTGAAAAATGAAAAAAAATGGTTAGAAATAGGTTCTTTCACATAGAAAATTCAATTCTTACCTTTTTAGTATCCATTTTCTAGGCCGAGCAGTCTGGAAAAGCCAACAAAACGGTCGAATGTCCCATAAAACACACCAAATTATCCAAATTTACGGCAATTACATTCCCCCTGCATTCTAATCCTCTCTCGGATGACTTGAAACGGCTGCATATTCCTGAAAAATGAAGAGCAATGGTCAGAAATAGGTTCTTTCTCATAGAAAATTCAATCCTTACCCTTTTAGTATCCATTTTGTAGGCCGAGCAGTCTGAAGAAGGATGAATACGGTCCAATGTACCACGAAACTCACCAAATTATCCAAGTTTACGGCAATTACATTCCCCCTGCATTCTAATCCTCTCTCGGAAGGCTTCAGCATTCCTAAAAATACAGAAAAATCGTAAGAAAATGGTTTCTTGTTACAGAGAATTCAAACCTTACCTTTAAAAAGGAAGAAATCGGTCGAAATTGTCATGAAACTTTCCAAATAATCCGGATTAACTGTAAGAACGTTCCTCTTCCATGCTAATCCTCTCTGGGAAGGTTTATATAGGCTTCAATATACCTAAAAATAAAGAAAAATCATTAAAAAAAGGGTCTTTCTCATAAAAATTAATTCCTTACATTTTTCAGTATCCATCGTTGCGAGAAATGGAGGTCGAACGTTCCTGTAATACCATAAAAAACATACATTTAATAAAAAGCAATATTTATACAACTAAAAATACCTTTTAATTGGAGTATTGTTTAATTTAAAATGATTTACTTACCTAATTATCAATGAAAATCGCACATGAAACTGAAAAATCGGCAGAAAAATCGCTTCAAAAATTCTTGAGTAAAATGTCGTCGAAAACCAATTGAATTGTCAATAACAACGGGATTCAATTATTTTTATCGAATGTATATTACGAATAAAGGCAAGTACCAATATCAAAAATATCAATAGAAAAATTAGGCATGACACTTGACATGACACTTGACGTACAGGTTTTTTTTTATTATTTTGATAAAGAACAGGGCTGCGCCCCCTTACAACCACCCTTCTCTTTATGTTTCTTTTTTAGTAAGGGGGCTGCGCCCCCTTACAACCCCCCTTTATCTTTACGTTCTTTTTTAGTAAGGGGGCTGCGCCCCCTTACAACCCCCCTTTATCTTTACGTTCTTTTTTAGTAAGGGGGCTGCGCCCCCTTACAACCCCCCTTTCCCTTTTTGTTCTTTTTTTAGTAAGGGGGCTGCGCCCCCTTACAACCCCCCTTTCTCTTTACGTTCTTTTTTAGTAAGGGGGCTGCGCCCCCTTACAACCCCCCTTTCTCTTTATGTTTTCTTTTGTAAGGGGGCTGCGCCCCCTTACGACCCCCCTTTCTCTTTATGTTTTTTTTTGTAAGGGGGCTGCGCCCCCTTACGACCCCCCTTTCTCTTTACGTTCTTTTTTAGTAAGGGGGCTGCGCCCCCTTACAACCCCCCTTTCTCTTTATGTTTTCTTTTGTAAGGGGGCTGCGCCCCCTTACGACCCCCCTTTCTCTTTATGTTTTCTTTTGTAAGGGGGCTGCGCCCCCTTACGACCCCCCTTTCTCTTTACGTTCTTTTTTAGTAAGGGGGCTGCGCCCCCTTACAACCCCCCTTTCTCTTTACGTTCTTTTTTAGTAAGGGGGCTGCGCCCCCTTACAACCCCCCTTCTCTTTATGTTTTTTTTTGTAAGGGGGCTGCGCCCCCTTACGACCCCCCTTACATAGCGGCTCGAAGGCCTGCGGCCTTCTTCGCCGCATGACACTCACCTGGCCGGATCCTCGCTCGCTGCGCTCGCTCGGTGCGATTGGAATTTCGTTTGGAAATAAAAAAACATTCCGTATATCAATTTTTTAATATAAAATCGCCCCGTACATCAAATTTTCATTTTTTCTTAACGTAAAAACACCCTGTACATCAAAAGTCCCGTCGACGTCTCCTTAGAAACGTCAGTGACATTTTCAGTCATTGTGAGGTTTGTTCTTTGCCGCTGTCAATAGTGTACACTTTTCGATATTATATTAAACATTTCTCGGTTATTCGTCAATAAAATGAGGAGAAAATTGGGCGGTGAGTAAATTATTGAATATTCTTTCATATTCAACCGTTGAAAGCGGCTAAAAGGTACAAATTCAGGAAAAAATCTTGCACCGCGATAGAGTTCCACTCAAACTAAACGAACGCAAATTATCCATCAAATAATTTTTTCTAAAATGTGTCAAAAATTTCAACTTTAAATCGATATTGTGAACGAAAACGAATTTAGCTGGAGAAAAGAGGTCGATTTTCGTAATCAGCGAATTTTTTCACGTCCCCCCATCTACCTCTCTACGCCCAAGTAATTCATTTTGCATTTCTCTCGCCAATCGGTCGTTAACGCCTGGGGTTTTATATATATAGTGACTCGCTAAACGCTCGGAAAGGGGGCTCCGCCCCCTTTCAACCCCCTTGCGCGATGTAAAAGACCATGCATGTTTCCTAGACACTGACCCGAATAGTAAAAGGCCTTCATTTCTTCTTCTACTTTAAACTGGTTTTTGACAGTTGACATTAGTTTCATGTTATTGTAAAACGTTCTTTAATAATGTTTTTAATTTCCTGCAAGAGATTAAATTAGTAGAAATAACTAAAACAGTTAGTTCAATAACGATTTATTTTAATTATTACTAAAACATTTCACAATTAACATACTAATGTATTGTACGAAGGTTCTTCAACACTGTTGTTCGATCGAATGGAAAGAAAAGCCTCCAGAAAAGACTCCAGAATGCTGTTCAAATTGTTCCTGGTGGGTTATTTTGCTTTGCCAGTTGCTGTTTGCTTCCTTTTTTCCAGTTTCAATCCTGCAAAATAAAGTAATTTTAAGTAAAAGGAAAATCTAACCCTACTTTTCATTCTACAGGTAACAAAAAATCATTCGATACTACGTTATTTTTATAATTTTTGTTCCAAATGAATGTATTTGAATGATATTTTGTCTTTTTAACGAATTATTAGTAATTACATACCTTTTTAGCATAATATTTCATCGTTCGAAGGTTCTCCGTTCGAAGTACTGGGTTGTTCGGTTAATGTTGAAAATGGCAGAAAAAATCCAAAATATGCCTCCAATTGTTGTTGGCGGTTTATTCCAAGCTACTAGTTGTCCTTTGCTTCTTATTATCCCGTGCCAATCCTGCAAAATAAGGAAATTTTAAGTAAAAGAAAAATCCAACAGTACTCTTTTTTCTACGGGTAACCTAAATCCTTACCATTTCATTTTGTAGGCAGAGCAGTCTGGAAAAGCCAACAAAACGGTCGAATGTCCCATAAAACACACCAAATTATCCAAATTGACGGCAATAACGTTCCTCTTGCGTTCTACTCCTCTCTCGGAAGACTTGAAACGGCATCAGATCCCTGAAAAATGTAGAAAAATGGTCAGAAATAGGTTCTTTCACATAGAAAATTCAATTCTTACCTTTTTAGTATCCATTTTGTAGGCCGAGCAGTCTGGAAAAGCCAACAAAACGGTCGAATGTCCCATAAAACGCACCAAATTATCCAAATTGACGGCAATAACGTTCCTCTTGCGTTCTACTCCTCTCTCGGAAGACTTGAAACGGCATCAGATCCCTGAAAAATGTAGAAAAATGGTCAGAAATAGGTTCTTTCACATAGAAAATTCAATTCTTACCTTTTTAGTATCCATTTTGTAGGCCGAGCAGTCTGGAAAAGCCAACAAAACGGTCGAATGTCCCATAAAACGCACCAAATTATCCAAATTGACGGCAATAACATTCCTCTTGCGTTCTACCCCTCTCTCGGAAGACTTGAAACGGCATCAGATCCCTGAAAAATGTAAAAAAATGGTTAGAAATAGGTTCTTTCACATAGAAAATTCAATTCTTACCTTTTTAGTATCCATTTTCTAGGCCGAGCAGTCTGGAAAAACCAAGAAAAAAGTCGAATGTCCCATAAAACACACCAAATTATCCAAATTTACGGCATTAACATTCCTCTTGCTTTCTACCGCTCTCTCGGAAGACTTGAAACGGCATCAGATCCCTGAAAAATGTAGAAAAATGGTCAGAAATAGGTTCTTTCACATAGAAAATTCAATTCTTACCTTTTTAGTATCCATTTTGTAGGCCGAGCAGTCTGGAAAAGCCAACAAAACGGTCGAATGTCCCATAAAACGCACCAAATTATCCAAATTGACGGCAATAACATTCCTCTTGCGTTCTACCGCTCTCTCGGAAGACTTGAAACGGCATCAGATCCCTGAAAAATGTAGAAAAATGGTTAGAAATAGGTTCTTTCTCATAGAAAATTCAATTCTTACCTTTACAGAATTTAAAATGTGGTCAGGGCAGTCTGGAAGAAGGATGAATACGGTCCAATGTACCACGAAACACACCAAATTATCCAAATTTACGGCAATTACATTCCCCCTGGAAGGCTGGAAGGCTTCAGCATTCCTAAAAATACAGAAAAATCGTAAGAAAATGGTTTCTTGTTACAGAGAATTCAAACCTTACCTTTAAAAAGGAAGAAATCGGTCGAAATTGTCATGAAACTTTCCAAATAATCCGGATTAATTGTAAGAACATTCCTCTTGCATGCTAATCCTCTCTGGGAAGGTTTGTATAGGCTTCAATATACCTAAAAATAAAGAAAAATCATTAAAAAAAAGGGTCTTTCTCATAAAAATTAATTCCTTACCTTTTTCAGTATCCATCGTTGCGAGAAATGGAGGTCGAACGTTCCTGTAATACCATAAAAAACATACATTTAATAAAAAGCAATATTTATACAACTAAAAATACCTTTTAATTGGAGTATTGTTTAATTTAAAATGATTTACTTACCTAATTATCAATGAAAATCGCACATGAAACTGAAAAATCGACACAAAAATCGCTTCAAAAATTCTTGAGGAAAATGTCGCCGAAAACCAATTGAATTGTCAATAACAACGGGATTCAATTATTTTTATCGAATGTATATTACGAATAAAGGTAAGTACCAATATCAAAAATATCAATACAAAAATTAGGAATGACACTTGACATGACATTTAACGTACAGGTTTTTTTTATTCTTTTTATAAAGAACAGGGCTGCGCCCCCTTACAACCCCCCTTTCTCTTTACGTTCTTTTTTTAGTAAGGGGGCTGCGCCCCCTTACAACCCCCCTTTCTCTTTACGTTCTTTTTTTAGTAAGGGGGCTGCGCCCCCTTACAACCCCCCTTTCTCTTTACGTTCTTTTTTTAGTAAGGGGGCTGCGCCCCCTTACAACCCCCCTTTCTCTTTACATTCTTTTTTTAGTAAGTGGGCTGCGCCCCCTTACAACCCCCCTTTCTCTTTACGTTCTTTTTTTAGTAAGGGGGCTGCGCCCCCTTACAACCCCCCTTATCTTTACCTTCTTTTTTAGTAAGGGGGCCGCGCCCCCTTACAACCCCCCTTTCTCTTTACGTTCTTTTTTTAGTAAGGGGGCTGCGCCCCCTTACAACCCCCCTTTCTCTTTACGTTCTTTTTTTAGTAAGGGGGCTGCGCCCCCTTACAACCCCCCCTTTCTCTTTACGTTCTTTTTTTAGTAAGTGGGCTGCGCCCCCTTACAACCCCCCTTTCTCTTTACGTTCTTTTTTTTTTGTAAGGGGGCTGCGCTCCCTTACAACCCCCCTTTCTCTTTACGTTCTTTTTTTAGTAAGGGGGCTGCGCCCCCTTACAACCCCCCTTTCTCTTTACGTTCTTTTTTATTAAGGGGGCCGCGCCCCCTTACAACCCCCCTTTCTCTTTACGTTCTTTTTTTAGTAAGGGGGCTGCGCCCCCTTACAACCCCCCTTTCTCTTTACGTTCTTTTTTTTTGTAAGGGGGCTGCGCCCCCTTACAACCCCCTTTCTCTTTACGTTCTTTTTTTAGTAAGGGGGCTGCGCCCCCTTACAACCCCCCTTATCTTTACGTTCTTTTTTAGTAAGGGGGCTGCGCCCCCTTACAACCCCCCTTTCTCTTTACGTTCTTTTTTTAGTAAGGGGGCTGCGCCCCCTTACAACCCCCCTTTTTCTTTATGTTTTTTTTGTAAGGGGGCTGCGCCCCCTTACGACCCCCCTTACATAGCGGCTCGAAGGCCTGCGGCCTTCTTCGCCGCATGACACTCACCTGGCCGGATCCTCGCTCGCTGCGCTCGCTCGGTGCGATTGGAATTTCGTTTGGAAATAAAAAACCATTCCGTATATCAATTTTTTAATATAAAATCGCCCCGTACATCAAATTTTCACATTTCCTTAACGAAAAAACACCCTGTACATCAAATGTCCCGTCGACGTCTCCTTAGAAACGTCAGTGACATTTTCAGTCAATGTGAGGTTGGTTCTTCGTCGCTGTCATTAGTGTACACTTTTCGAAATTAATATAAACTTTTCTCGGTTATTCGTCAATAAAATGAGGAGAAAACTCAAAGGTTAGTAATTTATTGTACGTTCTTTCATATTCAACCGTTGAAAGCGGCTAAAAGGTTCAAATTAAGAAAAAAAGTTACACTAAGGTAAAGTTCCATTCAGAGTAAACGAACGCAAATCGTCCATCAAATAATTTTTTCTAAAATGTGTCAAAAATTTCAACTTTAAATCGATATTGTGAACGAAAACGAATTTAGCTGGGGAAAAGAGGTCGATTTTCGTAATCAGCGAATTTTTTTACGTCTTCCCAACTACCTCTCTACGCCCAAGTAATTCAAATTTAATTTCGATCTCCAATCGGTCGTTAACGCCTGGGGTTTTATATATATAGTGACTCGCTAAACGCTCGGAAAGGGGGCTCCGCCCCCTTTCAACCCCCTTGCACGACGTAAAAGGCCTTGCAGTGCAAGTTATACACTGACCCGAATAGTAAAAGGCCATAGTTTCTTCTTCTACTTCAAACTTCTTTTTGACAGTTGACATTACTGTCATGTTAATAAAAGAAAATATTTTTAATTTCCTGCAAGAGATTGAATTTGTAAATAGAATTTTAACTATAACATAAATTACCATAAACATAAATAACTAAAACAGTTACTTTAATAACAATTTACTTTATTACATTTCAAAATTAATAACATACTAATATTGTTTACGAAGATTCTCCACACGGTTGTTCGGTCGAATGGAAATAAAGCCTGCAAGACTCCAGAATGCTGTTCTATTTGTTCCTGGTGGGTTATTTTGCTTTGCCAGTTGCTGTTTGCTTCCTTTTTTCCAGTTTCAATCCTGCAAAATAAAGAAATTTTAAGTAAAAGGAAAATCTAACCCTACTTTTCATTCTACAGGTAACAAAAAATCATTCGATACTACGTTATTTTTATAATTTTTGTTCCAAATGAATGTATTCGAATGATATTTTGTCTTTTTAACGAATTATTAGTAATTACATACCTTTTTAGCATAATATTCCATTGTTCGAAGGTTCTCCGATCGAAGTACTGGGTTGTTCGGTTAATGTTGAAAATGGCAGAAACAATCCAAAATATGCCTCCAATTGTTGTTGGCGGTTTATTCCAAGCTACTAGTTGTCCTTTGCTTCTTATTATCCCGTGCCAATCCTGCAAAATAAGAAAATTTTAAGTAAAAGAAAAATCCAACAGTACTCTTTTTTCTACGGGTAACTTAAATCCTTACCATTTCATTTTGTAGGCCCAGCAGTCTGGAAAAACCAAGAAAACGGTCGAATGTACCATAAAACACACCAAATTATCCAAATTTACGGCAATAACATTCCTCTTGCGTTCTACCGCTCTCTCGGAAGACTTGAAACGGCATCAGATCCCTGAAAAATGTAAAAAAATGGTTAGAAATAGGTTCTTTCACATAGAAAATTCAATTCTTACCTTTTTAGTATCCATTTTGTAGGCCGAGCAGTCTGCAAAAGCCAACAAAACGGTCGAATGTCCCATAAAACGCACCAAATTATCCAAATTTACGGCAAAAACATTCCTCTTGCGTTCTACCGCTCTCTCGGAAGACTTGAAACGGCATCAGATCCCTGAAAAATGTAAAAAAAATGGTTAGAAATAGGTTCTTTCACATAGAAAATTTAATTCTTACCTTTTTAGTATCCATTTTCTAGGCCGAGCAGTCTGGAAAAGCCAACAAAACGGTCGAATGTCCCATAAAACACACCAAATTATCCAAATTTACGGCAAAAACATTCCTCTTGCGTTCTACCGCTCTCTCGGAAGGCTTCAGCATTCCTAAAAATACAGAAAAATCGTAAGAAAAGGGTTTCTTGTTACAGAAAATTCAAACCTTACCTTTAAAAAGGAAGAAATCGGTCGAAATTGTCATGAAACTTTCCAAATAATCCGGATTAACTGTAAGAACATTCCTCTTCCATGCTAATCCTCTCTGGGAAGGTTTATATAGGCTTCAATATACCTAAAAATAAAGAAAAATCATTAAAAAAAGGTTCTTTCTCATAAAAATTAATTCCTTACCTTTTTCAGTCTCCTTCGTTGCGAGAAATGGAGGTCGATCGTTCCTGTAATACCATAAAAAACATACATTTAATAAAAAGCAATATTTATACAACTAAAAATACCTTTTAATTGAAGTATTGTTTAATTTAAAATGATTTACTTACCTAATTATCAATGAAAATCGCACATGAAACTGAAAAATCGACACAAAAATCGCTTCAAAAATTCTTGAGTAAAATGTCGCCGAAAACCAATTGAATTGTCAATAACAACGGGATTCAATTATTTTTATCGAATGTATATTACGAATAAAGGCAAGTACCAATATCAAAAATATCAATACAAAAATTAGGAATGACACTTGACATGACATTTAACGTACAGGTTTTTTTTATTCTTTTTATAAAGAACAGGGCTGCGCCCCCTTACAACCCCCCTTTCTCTTTACGTTCTTTTTTTAGTAAGGGGGCTGCGCCCCCTTACAACCCCCCTTTCTCTTTACGTTCTTTTTTAGTACAACCCCCCTTTCTCTTTACGTTCTTTTTTAGTACAACCCCCCTTTCTCTTTACGTTCTTTTTTTAGTAAGGGGGCTGCGCCCCCTTACAACCCCCCTTTCTCTTTACGTTCTTTTTTTAGTAAGGGGGCTGCGCCCCCCTACAACCCCCCTTTCTCTTTACGTTCTTTTTTTTTTTGGTAAGGGGGCTGCGCCCCCTTACAACCCCCCTTTCTCCTTACGTTCTTTTTTTAGTAAGGGGGCTGCGCCCCCTTACAACCCCCCTTTCTCTTTATGTTTTTTTTGTAAGGGGGCTGCGCCCCCTTACGACCCCCCTTACGTAGCGGCTCGAAGGTCTGCGGCCTTCTTCGCCGCATTACACTCACCTAGCCGGATCCTCGCTCGCTGCGCTCGCTCGGTGCGATTGGAATTTCGTTTGGAAATAAAAAACCATTCCGTATATCAATTTTTTAATATAAAATCGCCCTGTACATCAAATTTTCATTTTTCCTTAACGTAAAAACACCCTGTACATCAAATGTCCCGTCGACGTCTCCTTAGAAACGTCAGTGACATTTTCAGTCAATGTGAGGTTGGTTCTTTGCCGCTGTCATTAGTGTACACTTTTCGATATTAATTTAAACATTTCTCGGTTATTCGTCAATAAAATGAGGAGAAAACTCAAAGGTTAGTAATTTATTGTACGTTCTTTCATATTCAACCGTTGAAAGCGGCTAAAAGGTTCGAATTAAGAAAAAATCTTGCACCGCGATAAAGTTCCGTTCAAACTAAACGAACGCAAATCGTCCATCAAATAATTTCTTGAAAAATGTGTCAAAAATTTCAACTTTAAATCGATATTGTGAACGAAAACGAATTTAGCTGGGGAAAAGAGGTCGATTTTCGAAAAGAGCGCATTCGTTTACGTCCCCCCAACTACCTCTCTACCCCCAAGTAATTCATTTTGAATTTCTCTCGCCAATCAGTCGTTCACGCCTGGGGTTTTATATATATAGTGACTCGCTAAACGCTCGGAAAGGGGGCTCCGCCCCCTTTCAACCCCCTTGCGCGATGTAAAAGACCATGCATGTTTCCTAGACACTGACCCGAATAGTAAAAGGCCTTCGTTTCTTCTTCTACTTAAAACTTTTTTTTGACAGTTGACATTAGTTTCATGTTATTGTAAAACGTTCTTTAATAATGTTTTTAATTTCCTGCAAGAGATTAAATTAGTAGAAATAACTAAAACAGTTAGTTCAATAACGATTTATTTTAATTATTACTAAAACATTTCACAATTAACATACTAATGTATTGTTTACGATGGTTCTTCAACACTGTTGTTCGATCGAATGGAAAGAAAAGCCTCCAGAAAAGACTCCAGAATGCTGTTCAAATTGTTCCTGGTGGGTTATTTTGCTTTGCCAGTTGCTGTTTGCTTCCTTTTTTCCAGTTTCAATCCTGCAAAATAAAGTAATTTTAAGTAAAAGGAAAATCTAACCCTACTTTTCATTCTACAGGTAACAAAAAATCATTCGATACTACGTTATTTTTATAATTTTTGTTTCAAATGAATGTATTTGAATGATATTTTGTCTTTTTAACGAATTATTAGTAATTACATACCTTTTTAGCATAATATTTCATCGTTCGAAGGTTCTCCGTTCGAAGTACTGGGTTGTTCGGTTAATGTTGAAAATGGCAGAAAAAATCCAAAATATGCCTCCAATTGTTGTTGGCGGTTTATTCCAAGCTACTAGTTGTCCTTTGCTTCTTATTATCCCGTGCCAATCCTGCAAAATAAGGAAATTTTAAGTAAAAGAAAAATCCAACAGTACTCCTTTTTCTACGGGTAACTTAAATCCTTACCATTTCATTTTGTAGGCCGAGCAGTCTGGAAAAGCCAACATAACGGTCGAATGTCCCATAAAACACACCAAATTATCCAAATTTACGGCAAAAACATTCCTCTTGCGTTCTACCGCTCTCTCGGAAGACTTGAAACGGCATCAGATCCCTGAAAAATGTAAAAAAATGGTAAGAAATAGGTTCTTTCACATAGAAAATTCAATTCTTACCTTTTTAGTATCCATTTTGTAGGCCGAGCAGTCTGGAAAAGCCAACAAAACGGTCGAATGTCCCATAAAACGCACCAAATTATCCAAATTTACGGCAATAACATTCCTTTTGCGTTCTACTCCTCTCTCGGAAGACTTGAAACGGCATCAGATCCCTGAAAAATGTAGAAAAATGGTCAGAAATAGGTTTTTTGTCATAGAAAATTCAATTCTTACCTATTTAGTATTCATTTTGTAGGCCGAGCAGTCTGGAAAAGCCAACATAACGGTCGAATGTACCATAAAACGCACCAAATTATCCAAATTGACGGCAATAACGTTCCTCTTGCGTTCTACCGCTCTCTCGGAAGACTTGAAACGGCATCAGATCCCTGAAAAATGTAGAAAAATGGTTAGAAATAGGTTCTTTCTCATAGAAAATTCAATTCTTACCTATTTAGTATTCATTTTGTAGGCCGTGCAGTCTGGAAAAGCCAACATAACGGTAGAATGTACCATAAAACGCACCAAATTATCCAAATTGACGGCAATAACATTCCTCTTGCGTTCTACTCCTCTCTCAGAAGACTTGAAACGGCTTCAGATCCCTGAAAAATGAAAAAAATGGTCAGAAATAGGTTCATTCTCATAGAAAATTCAATTCTTACCTTTACAGAATTTAAAATGTAGTCAGGGCAGTCTGGAAGAAGGATGAATACGGTCCAATGTACCATTAAATACATCAAATTATCCAAATTTACGGCAATTACATTCTCCCTGCATTCTAATCCTCTCTCGGAAGGCTTCAGCATTCCTAAAAATACAGAAAAATAGTAAGAAAAGGGTTTCTTGTTACGGAAAATTCAAACCTTACCTTTAAAGAGGAAAAATTGGTCGAAATTATCATGAAACTTTCCAAATAATCCGAATTAACTGTAAGAACATTCCTCTTGCATGCTAATCCTTTCTGGAAGGGCTTGAATAGGCTTCAATATACCTAAAAATAAAGAAAAATCATTAAAAAAAGGTTCTTTCTCATAAAAATTAATTCCTTACCTTTTTCAGTCTCCTTCGTTGCGAGAAATGGAGTTGGATCGTTCCTGTAATACCATAAAAAACAGACATTTAATAAAAAGCAATATTAATACAACTAAAAAAACCTGTTAATTGGAGTATTGTCTAATTTTAAATGATTTACTTACCTAATTATCAATGAAAATCGCACAAAAAACTGAAAAATCGACACAAAAATCGCTTCAAAAATTCTTGAGTAAAATGTCGGCGAAAACCAATTGAATTGTCAATAACAACGGGATTCAATTATTTTTATCGAATGTATATTACTAATAAAGGTAAGTACCAATATCAAAAATATCAATACAAAAATTAGGAATGACACTTGACATGACATTTAACGTACAGGTTTTTTTTATTCTTTTTATAAAGAACAGGGCTGCGCCCCCTTACAACCACCCTTCTCTTTATGTTTCTTCATTACCGAGAACCCTTTACCTTGCCCCCTTACAACCCCCCTTTCTCTTTACGTTCTTTTTTTAGTAAGGGGGCTGCGCCCCCTTACAACCCCCCCTTTCTCTTTACGTTCTTTTTTTAGTAAGGGGGCTGCGCCCCCTTACAACCCCCCTTTCTCTTTACGTTATTTTTTTAGTAAGGGGGCTGCGCCCCCTTACAACCCCCCCTTTCTCTTTACGTTCTTTTTTTAGTAAGGGGGCTGCGCCCCCTTACAACCCCCCTTTCTCTTTACGTTCTTTTTTTAGTAAGGGGGCTGCGCCCCCTTACAACCCCCTTTCTCTTTACGTTCTTTTTTTAGTAAGGGGGCTGCGCCCCCTTACAACCCCCCTTTCTCTTTACGTTCTTTTTTTAGTAAGGGGGCTGCGCCCCCTTACAACCCCCCTTTCTCTTTACGTTCTTTTTTTAGTAAGGGGGCTGTGCCCCCTTACAACCCCCCTTTCTCTTTACGTTCTTTTTTTAGTAAGGGGGCTGCGCCCCCTTACAACCCCCCTTTCTCTTTATGTTCTTTTTTAGTAAGGGGGCTGCGCCCCCTTACAACCCCCCTTTCTCTTTACGTTCTTTTTTAGTAAGGGGGCTGCGCCCCCTTACAACCCCCCTTTCTCCTTATGTTTTTTTTGTAAGGGGGCTGTGCCCCCTTACGACCCCCCTTATATAGCGCCTCGAAGGCCTGCGGCCTTCTTCGTCGCATGACACTAGTAAGGGGGCTGCGCCCCCTTACAACCCCCCTTTCTCTTTACGTTCTTTTTTTAGTAAGGGGGCTGCGCCCCCTTACAACCCCCCTTTCTCTTTATGTTCTTTTTTAGTAAGGGGGCTGCGCCCCCTTACAACCCCCCTTTCTCTTTACGTTCTTTTTTTAGTAAGGGGGCTGCGCCCCCTTACAACCCCCCCTTTCTCTTTACGTTCTTTTTTTAGTAAGGGGGCTGCGCCCCCTTACAACCCCCCTTTCTCTTTACGTTCTTTTTTTAGTAAGGGGGCTGCGCCCCCTTACAACCCCCCTTTCTCTTTACGTTCTTTTTTTAGTAAGGGGGCTGCGCCCCCTTACAACCCCCTTTCTCTTTACGTTCTTTTTTTAGTAAGGGGGCTGCGCCCCCTTACAACCCCCCTTTCTCTTTACGTTCTTTTTTTAGTAAGGGGGCTGCGCCCCCTTACAACCCCCCTTTCTCTTTACGTTCTTTTTTAGTAAGGGGGCTGCGCCCCCTTACAACCCCCCTTTCTCTTTACGTTCTTTTTTTAGTAAGGGGGCTGTGCCCCCTTACAACCCCCCTTTCTCTTTACGTTCTTTTTTTAGTAAGGGGGCTGCGCCCCCTTACAACCCCCCTTTCTCTTTACGTTCTTTTTTTAGTAAGGGGGCTGCGCCCCCTTACAACCCCCCTTTTTCTTGACGTTTTTTTTTTTAGTAAGGGGGCTGTGCCCCCTTACAACCCCCCTTTCTCTTTACGTTCTTTTTTTAGTAAGGGGGCTGCGCCCCCTTACAACCCCCCTTTCTCTTTACGTCCTTTTTCACCTGGCCGGATCCTCGCTCGCTGCGCTCGCTCGGTGCGATTGGAATTTCGTTTGGAAATAAAAAAACATTCCGTATATCAATTTTTTAATATAAAATCGCCCTGTACATCAAATTTTCATTTTTCCTTAACGTAAAAACACCCTGTACATCAAATGTCCCGTCGACGTCTCCTTAGAAACGTCAGTGACATTTTCAGTCAATGTGAGGTTGGTTCTTTGTCGCTGTCATTAGTGTACACTTTTCGATATTAATTGAAACTTTTCTCGGTTATTCGTCAATAAAATGAGGAGAAAACTCAAAGGTTAGTAATTTATTGTACGTTCTTTCATATTCAACCGTTGAAAGCGGCTAAAAGGTTCAAATTAAGAAAAAAAGTTACACTAAGGTAAAGTTCCATTCAGAGTAAACGAACGCAAATCGTCCATCAAATAATTTTTCGGAAAATGTGTCAAAAATTTCAACTTTAAATCGATATTGTGAACGAAAACGAATTTAGCTGGGAAAAAGAGGTCGATTTTCGTAATCAGCGAATTTTTTCACGTCCCCCTATGTACCTCTGTACGCCCAAGTAATTCATAATGAATTTCTGTCGCCAATCGGTCGTTAACGCCTGGGGTTTTATATATATAGTGACTCGCTAAACGCTCGGAAAGGGGGCTCCGCCCCCTTTCAACCCCCTTGCGCGATGTAAAAGACCATGCATGTTTCCTAGACACTGACCCGAATAGTAAAAGGCCTTCATTTCTTCTTCTACTTTAAACTGGTTTTTGACAGTTGACATTAGTTTCATGTTATTGTAAAACGTTCTTTAATAATGTTTTTAATTTCCTGCAAGAGATTAAATTAGTAGAAATAACTAAAACAGTTAGTTCAATAACGATTTATTTTAATTATTACTAAAACATTTCACAATTAACATACTAATGTATTGTACGAAGGTTCTTCAACACTGTTGTTCGATCGAATGGAAAGAAAAGCCTCCAGAAAAGACTCCAGAATGCTGTTCAAATTGTTCCTGGTGGGTTATTTTGCTTTGCCAGTTGCTGTTTGCTTCCTTTTTTCCAGTTTCAATCCTGCAAAATAAAGTAATTTTAAGTAAAAGGAAAATCTAACCCTACTTTTCATTCTACAGGTAACAAAAAATCATTCGATACTACGTTATTTTTATAATTTTTGTTCCAAATGAATGTATTTGAATGATATTTTGTCTTTTTAACGAATTATTAGTAATTACATACCTTTTTAGCATAATATTTCATCGTTCGAAGGTTCTCCGTTCGAAGTACTGGGTTGTTCGGTTAATGTTGAAAATGGCAGAAAAAATCCAAAATATGCCTCCAATTGTTGTTGGCGGTTTATTCCAAGCTACTAGTTGTCCTTTGCTTCTTATTATCCCGTGCCAATCCTGCAAAATAAGGAAATTTTAAGTAAAAGAAAAATCCAACAGTACTCTTTTTTCTACGGGTAACCTAAATCCTTACCATTTCATTTTGTAGGCAGAGCAGTCTGGAAAAGCCAACAAAACGGTCGAATGTCCCATAAAACACACCAAATTATCCAAATTGACGGCAATAACGTTCCTCTTGCGTTCTACTCCTCTCTCGGAAGACTTGAAACGGCATCAGATCCCTGAAAAATGTAGAAAAATGGTCAGAAATAGGTTCTTTCACATAGAAAATTCAATTCTTACCTTTTTAGTATCCATTTTGTAGGCCGAGCAGTCTGGAAAAGCCAACAAAACGGTCGAATGTCCCATAAAACGCACCAAATTATCCAAATTGACGGCAATAACGTTCCTCTTGCGTTCTACTCCTCTCTCGGAAGACTTGAAACGGCATCAGATCCCTGAAAAATGTAGAAAAATGGTCAGAAATAGGTTCTTTCACATAGAAAATTCAATTCTTACCTTTTTAGTATCCATTTTGTAGGCCGAGCAGTCTGGAAAAGCCAACAAAACGGTCGAATGTCCCATAAAACGCACCAAATTATCCAAATTGACGGCAATAACATTCCTCTTGCGTTCTACCCCTCTCTCGGAAGACTTGAAACGGCATCAGATCCCTGAAAAATGTAAAAAAATGGTTAGAAATAGGTTCTTTCACATAGAAAATTCAATTCTTACCTTTTTAGTATCCATTTTCTAGGCCGAGCAGTCTGGAAAAACCAAGAAAAAAGTCGAATGTCCCATAAAACACACCAAATTATCCAAATTTACGGCATTAACATTCCTCTTGCTTTCTACCGCTCTCTCGGAAGACTTGAAACGGCATCAGATCCCTGAAAAATGTAGAAAAATGGTCAGAAATAGGTTCTTTCACATAGAAAATTCAATTCTTACCTTTTTAGTATCCATTTTGTAGGCCGAGCAGTCTGGAAAAGCCAACAAAACGGTCGAATGTCCCATAAAACGCACCAAATTATCCAAATTGACGGCAATAACATTCCTCTTGCGTTCTACCGCTCTCTCGGAAGACTTGAAACGGCATCAGATCCCTGAAAAATGTAGAAAAATGGTTAGAAATAGGTTCTTTCTCATAGAAAATTCAATTCTTACCTTTACAGAATTTAAAATGTGGTCAGGGCAG